GGTGGTGGTGGTGGTGGTGGTCGTCGTCGTCGTCGTCGACGTCGTCGTCGTCGATCCAGCAACAGCTGGGCTCTCGCCCTTCTGTCCAATGCCATGTAGTGATAAGTGCAGGTTTCCTGCAGTTGCTGTAATGTACCATAGAGTGTGTTGTCAATGTTAGGTCTTGGAGGGAGAAGGGTAGCAAATGGCTTGTAAAAGGGACTGCTATTTGGCAAATGGTGTCATAGTTGACTGCATACTCGGTGAAAGTTGTGGTAAAAGAATATGACTGTGTTTGCGCGTTCTTTGAAAAGAAGGTGTATTTAATTTTCACAATGCTGTTACTTATTGTCACTGATGTGATCATGCCACTTTGTTAATTAATCAGCATACATTTTATGTATCAATTTTTATGCAAGTTGAAACACTCTGAGAAGTGTCTTAAGCAGAAATCTTAAGAAGGTAGAGGGAATAGGAATATTACGTCTAGAGATTCAGTTGTTTGAAACGTACTTGAAATGTGTCTTTTGTCCCTTGTTTAAAGTTTTACTTTTATTGTCTTTTTTGTGTCTGGTAATTTTTTTTGTTATCTCAGGAAATGTTTCACTTAACATTTTTTTCACACAAACATGCAAAGCAGTCTCTGCTTGCAGAACTAATAGGTTGCCTACTCATTTTTTTAGCGTAAGTGGTTAACTGTCGGATTGAAACACATGAAACTTTAATAATTCACAAAGATTTGTCACTTGTAACTTACCCTGTTTTGGAGTTCAAGAAATAAAGCAATTGGGCAATACATGTTTTGTATTTGTATTTGTTTTGATCGTATCAAGGTTTTATCTTTTGGGCAATACTTGTTTTGTATTTGTATTTGTTTTGATCGTATCAAGATTTTATCTTTATGAGTGACCTGGTGGATAATCTTCACTTACCACAGCAAACTGATTTGCTAAGTACTCGAGCAACTTGATACTTAATTCTGAATTTCTTTCAATTATTTGAGCATGATTTATTTTTATTTTCTTGTTGTCTGTTGTTTAAGATTTTATGGGTTTTAAATATTGAGAGAAAATGATATTTCCTGTGAACTGAATTCCCTATTTTAATTACCATTCATTATGTGCACAGGGAATTGTGGAACTGATTTCAGCTGTTTTTGTGCATCATATTGTTAATTGATATGATGAAAAGAAATCGTATTATCTATTCTGAAATAAACATTTACTTTGAATTATACGTATTTGAGTTGCACGGTCTGTGATACAAGGTTGATGTGAAAGTTAGCCTGAACATAACGTATGTATGTGTATGCACAGTCTGCATGACATTCTGTACAATTCAGTGTGGATGGTTGGTGGGTGCTCTTGTGTGGTTTGGTCTTTCTTTCTTATGAAATATATCATCCTTTTCTTTCCTCCTTCTTTTTTGTGTGTTATTCTCTTGTAAAACCTATCATCTTCGGCACTTTTATAACCTAATTGTGTTACAAGTGCTGTAAAACTTCTATTTTAACTCACACAGATGAAGGAAATGAAGGGCTAGGAACGCTCCCCAAACATCCTTGTTGTATTGTTTGTTTGTTTGTTTTTGGCTTTTTATTTATATTTTGGTTTTTTGTTTGTTTGTGGGATGGGGGGGGGGGGGGTTAGAGGGTGTGGGGAGATCAGACATAAAGGCTTCACGCTGCCAAGTGGTAGATACTAAATGAGCTAGCCACAAACCAGAAGACGTTTCTAACTGCATGGCCAGTGACAAAATCAGCCGTCGCCTTGCCTGAAAACTGCACACCTCCAACTGCCACAACAACATACAGGACTCCTTGGGGTTGATCGCCACTGGTGTATTGTTCGACTCTCCCAGAACTACTTCAGTATTTGCACGTCAAATGACTCATATGGTCGTGGTTTGTTTTACTTTGAATTAGCCCTTAATTTTGTCCCTTATATTCTGAGGGCACAGCACTTGACACACGAATTAGAAACAGTATTTTCATTGTGGATTAGCAGGTTATTTGTACTGTTGTATTCAGAAGAAGAGGAAGACCAAAGAAAACTGAGAAGAAGAAAGATCATACTGTCCAGCTGTAACTAAGAACGAGTCGGAACGAAGCAGATACATAGGCTAGATGTGGAAACACCGTGGGGCGAGGGGGAGGGTAAGTTGAAGGAGCAGTCCATCATATATCTGAGCCCATCAATGTTCGACTGATCGGACTCACTTAAGCTCTTTCCATTGAATTGACTTTGGAGCACAGAAACGTGCCGGGGAGGCCATTTTAGGTCACGTATAGGCCACACCCCATGAAGTGTCATGATCAAGGTCCTCAAAGAGCGTAGGAGGTCAATGAATAGAAATGTAAACATACCCAGTTGTGTACAAATTAGACCATAAAGATGCACTCGAAGCAAGAATTCTAGTTATGGATGTTTTCCAGGGTAACAGATACACCAAACACTGCCATATATTCTTTAATTCTCCCACCCTTTTTCATGAACTCTGCATTGGTGGAAGAAACATATTACGTTCGTTAACATGATAATTTTAGAAGTAGCCAATACTTAAGGAGGGGGGTGGGTGGTTGGCGGGTGCTCTGGTGTGGTTTGCTACTTCTTTCCTATCAGACACCTGTCGTCCTTATCTTTCCTCCTTATTTAACTTTTATGTTTACACTCTTGTAACACCTCTAAGCTTCGACACTTCTATGATCTGATTGTGTTGCAAGTTCCCTAAAACTCTTACTAGAACTAAATCTTTAATAAGGAGCAAATACAAGATAAGAATAATCTCAACAGATTGTTTATTCATTTTTCTGTCCTCTTAATTAGGTAGCGTCGGTGGCCTTGTGGTTGGGCTCGCGGACTCGTAACCGTAATGTCGTGGGTTCGAATTCCGTCAGGGACCCGACGTTAGAATGTTCCTTCCTTCAACCAGGCGTGAATGGGTACCCGGCTGTAGACAGCGAAAGCGCCTGTAAAATGGCAGCTTGCTCTGTGTGCTTTCCAGGAAGCTGAGTTTTGTTTCTGGTCTGCTGGGGTAATAATATAGGTTGAAAAGCGAACAGAGCTTGCTGTTGAGCGAGAAATTGCGCTATTCAAATTATGCAATCTATAATCTAATATTTTTATTAATTGGGGTAATAAATGAGTGGTGTTTCTCATCGTTCCCGTTGTAGTCATGAAATGAAATAAGTGATAACCGAAACTTTTTTACTTGTTCAGAGCGCGTTGGAAAACTATGAGGGTTTTAGAAAATGAAATCGGCAGGGGAAAATCGAAACACAGAGTAAGGGAAATAACTACTGAAAATACTCTTGAACACGATTGTGGTACATGTATTCATGTTCTAGATTGTCTCAATATCGAAACATAGAGTAAGGGAAATAACCACTAAAAATATCCTTAAACGCGATAATGGGTATTCATTTTTCTAAATTGTCTCCCTTCAGCAGAAAAGAAGGGGGGGGGGG